ACGTGTTAGTCTTTTTCTCATGTTTATGCGTCAAAAGCCCCGGCCAAAACTGAATAATAATTTGGCATAACTGAATTTGTGAATTTAAATTAGGATAAAAGAATGAAAATCACATTTTTCACCATTTTCCACATTGTTAATTTATTGCGTATGGTCTTAATGGAAATATGCTATAATGCACTCTTTTCTATAAAATCAACAGGAATGAACACGTCTATTCTGCTTCCATCCTGACTTGTGGGCTTCATTTTCGAATTAACTCATTGTGAATGATAGACTTTTTCTTAGATATCAGAACATCGTAATCTTCCAACCCATATTTATTCTTTGCTCTGTTGTCTCTCTTCGATTTTGGTCTAGCTTAGTATCTTGTTTTTAATCAGAAGCATTGAATCTTTAGCCAGTTAAGATCCCAATTTAATTAGGTTAGCTTTTATTTATAGCGATTATTTGATTATCAGCCTTTTCTTGACCAGGCCTAGTAGCTATTCGTGTTGCTTTTGTTCTGGCCTACTCACTTTTAGATATTAAGTTATCGTGTATACGACAAGCGAAAAGCAAGAAGAATTTGTGAGCTCAAGAGGCCGTTTAAACAACAATATGAAATTCGATCTTTGCTAAATCATATATTATGCTATACAGTTTGCTCACATGCGGAGGTGATTTCTGTGATTTTTTAAATGATGCTGTTCCATGTCGAGTGGTTGATAGCGAGTGACATCTATGCCAACGATTTCATATTTTTTCCTGGAAGATTATGCCATCTCCGTAGATACTCATATTAGCAATATTCACAAAGATATGCTTACTTAGAAGTCATATGAGATTTATTAACTATATTTCGCTTAAGCTGATAAAGGACTGGTAGTAGAATTTTCTCAAAATGATATGAGTAGAGCTGATGTTTCCATTGAATTTCACATAGCCTTGCTTTCCCAAAAGTTGTTCTCATTCTGGGTGGACTCCAGCTTCGACCTCTTTCGACATACTCTTGTGAAAATCACCTTCGGTGACTTCTTGAGCGGTTTCCCCAAATTCCCATATTGCGTTACCAAAATGGTTCTTTTTGCATCTCATTTTGATATCCGGAGAATGTCAGCATCTTGACTTGTATTGCTTAGATTTGATGATTGAAATCTTGTTAAATGATTTCTTTTTTCTATCCTTCTTAGTTCCTAATTACCGGCTTTCGCTACCGTCTCGTCGAATGTGGTGGCTTTCGCGTCTGCCCACTGCTCTCCTTAATTGCCCCCTCCACATCCATCGAGGCGCGATGCACAAAGGCCCCTTCCAAATTCGGCCGGAGCCCCAAGGAGCCCAGAATCAACCACCTTCCACGGCCTCATTTGTCAGCTCAAGCATTCGCTGTACTTGCTCAGCACCCAGCCCTTATCGAGTCTCTTGAGTGGTTGGAGCTCATGCCCCGTGATTCATCCAGTTGCACCGCTCTCTCAGGCTCTTGCGCGTTCTCTCATCTTTCCACTTCTACTAATACATCTTCCCTCGCTTCCGAATGGGACTCGTCAGCCACCTCCTCTAAGTTATTCGCTTCTACACTCAACTGCCCTCCGATTGATGCTCTAGCCATCTATTCTCCTTCAGCTCTCATTTTCTCCGGCTGCCCGGTTATTCACCTTTACCGACCCATACCTCTTCTTGAAATAGTGCCCGGAGGTCTGATCAGTTTGCCAAATCTACCCATTTCTAGATTAGGGCCTGCCCTGCCTACTGCTGATCAAGATGCCAGCTCCGTCAATGCTCAGGTTGAGATGGAACTTTATCACGTCAAGAGGTTCGATGAGGCGTTGGCGTCTCGTGCCCGGCTTGAAGGTCAACAAGAAACGCCAAAAGATTCGCTCCAAATAACTTCACGGTCTGATGCCGATAGGGAACCAGAGCAACCCATACAATTCCAGCATCCCTTACGACTAAGAAGCAATCTTGATTCAGCAAAGGGTTTATATTATGAGGTAAGTTATTCTGTGAAATTCGCTTTAAGAAGCCTAGACAGATTAACAATAAGCGTGAGACTATTCAAAGAACGATTAAGTATTCATCATATGAGTAGAACTAAACGACCTGGAGTGATTTAGTTCTTATCCGGGAATTACTGACAACTATGAAATTCAATTATACAGAAAATGAGAAGTTTCGCCTATTTTAATATCAAACATATATTTGTCTCATCGACAACTCCGCTATAACTTCGATTTGGAAGACGCCAGGCTTACTTGGAGAGTCACGTCTGCCCTGTGGTCAACTGGCACCCCTAATTGCGTAAAGTTGTCGCTTGTTGCGTAGCCCTCGGTTTCTAACATCTTTGGGTATAATGATTAGACAATGAGGCGAACTCGAGTCTGCAGTCGTGCCTGGAGAAATTGATCATTTTGGAGGCTGTGAACTTCATTTACCTCTTGAGGCCTACTTATATCACTACAGGCACATTTCAAATATCCGTTTTAGAGTCCTCCTAAGCGACGTAGACGGATCTAGTTCTTAATTCATAATCAATTCACAAAATACTTGGATAGGAAATTAACATTTGCTCTTTGTTTTAGACCAATTTCTCGAACGGGCTTTTGTTCATGTGAAAAGCATTCACTTATGCCGGTTGAGGAGTCAAATTATTAAATAATCTCGCCTAACAGGCGAATTGATTCCATCAGCCTATTGGTACTTTTGGCATCAAGGGCTGGTTTCTTAAGAGTGAATTAGAGCAAAACCATTATCCTTTTACCTAAGGTGTATTCGCTCGATTTCCTTAAGGTGATAACGAGACTGATAGGCGAATTTTCCCACGATGATATGCGTAGACCTTACGTTTCCATCGGAATCCACACAGCCTTGCTTTTCACAAAAGGTTTTCCCATCCAAAGTGGACTGTAGCTTCAAACTCGCCTAGGTCTTATCAACAACCACAGCAGGACTTGAGCCACGACATTGCAGCGTATAATATCGACACGTTAACCACTAAGCAATATTGCTGCGAGTGCTCTCGAGCATCAGGACAGATGACAGTTTCAAGGAAGGCCAGACATTTTCAAGTGTCACATGCTATGGTGGGTTTGCCAATGGGGCAGAGTTGTATTGCTATAGCAATAGACTAGATTACTTATACAAGTTGTTTGGCCTTCTTTTCGTAACTTAGTCATATTGGCAGGAAGAACTAAGGGAGCGCACCTTGAAGGGAGTCAATTGTATGCATGATCGTTTTCAAAGTCGGATCGTGCACTTAGTACATTCCCAGACGTTTCTCCGGCATCGTCAGTGAACCTTGCTAGTCTTAGCACCACACTGCAACTCGTCAAAGTGACAAGTAAAGTCGATGCTTTGACCAATTATCTCCTAAGCAGTTGTGGTACCTCTCCACAACTGTTATAATAATGTACCTTTTTATCGTAACTGGGTGAGTCACTCGATCTTATTCTTAAATTTTTCACCACTCCATTCAGTAATCTTTACCGATATTTTTTTTACTGACTTTTTCCCTATTCAGTTAGAGGTTTTGCTTTATCCAAATGAGGTACGCTGGCTGCCCCTACACTTCTACCTTAAAGACGAGCACCGCTCCGCCAATCCTCCGCGATCACCAGACTCCAAGTCAAAACAGCCAGTGTCAAGAGAGTCGCATCCTCGACTGTTCATCCTAAATGCCCGCATAGAAATGGCTCCAGCGACCACGAGCCCAGTGGTTCTGGCTGCCTTAGGTGGGAAGCAAGGATTGTCTAACAGTCCAGTCCATCATTTTGCCCAATGCCATGGGCTGGACAACATTATTTCTAGGGTATGCTTGATAAAGTGCAGAAAGTCTTTTTATTTTCTATCCAGTACCCTAGAGTATGGAGTACCTGCCTTTTCGGGACATCTTCTTTTTTCTTAATTCTTGGTTAAAAAAAGCAATAAATGATACGCAAGAATTCCGATGCCTCTATTCAGCCTATTCACAATACACATTTTATACTTAGCTTTATCTAATTTGTGTGAAGACTAAGAGAATGTGGCTTTTGGTATGGTCACGGCCTTGTTTTCGTAACTTGATCGTATTCTCAGATACCTCAAGGCCTATATTTTCTTTTTTATTGCTGTTTATAGCCCTTAGATTTATCTGCATGACTTCTTTGGGGTATCCGTTTGTTTACTTTTTCGTCCTACAACTCTGAGTAATTT